AATACTAATTTGTTGATGAAGGCTTCGTTAAAAAGTTATTAAAAAATTAAATTAAAATATTTCAAATTGTTCTAAAAAAATTATTTTCGGTTACGGGGGTCAATTACAATAATTTTTGGCGAATAGACCTACCCCCGAAATCCTGCCCACTTTCTAGAAAAAAATTCAGTACGGGCGGAACTTTAAACGTTAATAACTTTTTAACAAAGCCTCGATCAACAAATTAATATTGTTGATTTACGTCTTATTTTAGCCACTAAAATCTCCCATTAAAATTTTTTCCAGGGGTGGCCGAACACCCTGTATAGGACAAATGGGAAAGGGGAAAAATAATATTTTGTAAGTTTCCTTCCTTTCTCTTTTGTATTATTTTACCGTATCAATATTATCGGTTCTATGCCTGTTCTTCATTTATATTATGATAATCATTTTAATTACAAAAAAAAATAATTTTTTCAAAACGATTTGAAATTTTTTTTTTTCGTCGAAAAATTTAGACATTATTTAGACACTACCCTATCGATGTTTCTTAAAAATTTGTTTAACGCTATACAGAAAAGTGGTCTAATACTTTTTTGTAGGTGCTCATGGGCTCTGCTTCAGAAAAAAGTTTCATTGAAATATATTCACTATTGTAGGTGTTATGGTTGTTTGAAAATTGGACCATTTTTATGAAGTTTTTCTTAGTTTACGGGGTTAAGGAACAACTTTTCGAATATTCTTTGAATTTTTGTATATTCTTCACTGAAATACGTGTTGTTTGCACTTTGAAAAATTAAAATCCTTCAGTCCGTTCAGAAGTTATGACAGTTTACAGATTCGCATGAAATTTCAAGGAAGCATTTCTGGCCTCACACTAGATTTTCGGTAAAGAATTTTTTTCTCGAAAGTGCGTAGAATTTCAGGTTATGTCTATTCACCAAAAATGATTGTTATTGACCTCTCTAACTAAATGTAATTTTTTTAGTATGATTTTAAATTTTTTAATTTCGTTTCAAAATTTCAGTACCTACTCCAATTTTTTTCTCGAAAGCGGGTAGGATTTCAAAGGTATGTGTATTCACAAAAAATGATTATAATTGAGCCCCGCAACCAAAAATAATTTTTTTAAAATTATTTTAACAACTTCTTAACGCGGCCTCAATCAACAAATTGATATTCTTGATTTTCGTCTTATTTTGACCTCTAGAATCTCCCATTAAAATTTTTCCCAGGGGTTGCTGTACACCCTGTATACTATCACCTTGCAAAGACCTGTTAAAATCGTATTCGTACACTATAATGGTGATTCACTCTAAATGAAAAAAAAATTGGTTCTTATGAATTTTTTCTATTAATTTTTAACAAATCTGTTTGCCACGCGGTGTTACTTTGTCATTTACGAAATAGTTTGTATTTTAATATTAACAATTTTAATGTACGAAGGAATGGATTTATACCAGTTTATATCTTTAAAATTATTGAGTATATACGCCAAATATTTTGCACATATCATTAAGAATGTACAGACTACTACCGTGCAAAGACTCGTTAAAATCGAAGTCGGACAGTTGGGATCTTTACCTTATAAGCGAGATTTCACGATGAAACGAGTCCAATTTAACCCTCGGGGATTCCAATACCAAATTTGAAACGCAAACAGTGATTGAAAAGTTTATAGAATGGCAATGATAAATATTATTCAAGTTATTTTTAAACACAGTCCGCTCGAAAGAAATGGTACAAAAAGTCGCTACAACAGTCGTGCCATGAATGATTCTTAAAGTGAACGTGATCCGTAAGTTGAACATTTCTATCTCTAACCGTGAATGATATTTTAAAACCGATACGAGCGATTCGCCTCTGCTGCACGAAAGATGAACGCACTAACCCAAAATCGATCATTTTAAGAATCATTTTTCTATACATATATCGCATAAGAAAAAATTTCGATTTCGATCGAAAAGAGCGGTATCCAAAAATTCTATCGCGCGATCGCAGAATTAAAATTCGTAATCGAACGGTTGCTTTGCAGAAAATCTTGACGACGATCTAGGAAGAAGAAACGTTCATGGTGTACGAGCGTTCGCAATCCCGCGGCGCCTAATGGCGCAACTGTAAATTCGATATTACGATGACGACTGCGACGGATGTTATTATCAGGATGCGATCCGCGACGTCGCTGCCGCGACTTACTCGTAGATTAGAACCCTCGAGTAAACGAAAGTCTAAATAACCCCTAATTATCACGATCGTTCGTTCCCCGAAGACGATTGCCCCTCTCGAGCGCGCAATCTCGTTACTCCGTTCGACGAAGCGATCGTCTATACGAAATGGTTCGCTTTCCATGGACTCGGTTGAACTTCTGTTCGGCGTAGATACGGTTGAAGGTTTATTAAGCGCGCCGCAAAAGGGAGTCCGGTACCCTTTGCCCCAAGAATGGATCGTTAAAGTCGTCTGAGTCAAAGACCGCAAATCTAAGCTCCCTTGGCGTATTAATTTCAGAAAAAGTATTAGACCTATCGATTTCAAATTTTGTACACGTATTTCTGCGTACTTTAAGCATCTGTACACATTTATTTAAATGTTAACGATTTTACACTCTCAAGTTATATGCTATATTGCGTTGAAATACGTAAAAAATTGTTCGACGTCAAACAGATTTTTGTCTCGCATAACTGTGGATATCGTGTGAGTTGAAATTTTGAGATGTCTCAAAGAGGATAATTTTGAGATCAAAACCCATAAATATAAAATCTTGGACTTACCCTGTGAATGAAAGCCATCAGCGAAGGGGATTGGCGTCGATTACGGTTGTCGCTCGATATAAAGCTCTCGAGGGTTGAAAATGGTCTTTATCTCCCCTTTGTCACAGTGATAGTCCGTAATTAGAACGTAGATAACGAAGCCTGTTCGATAGAGTCTGCCCACGATCGTTGTGGCTCGATATTGGCATTTGTCAACCTACATACATACCTAGACGAGTCGCTGTGCTAGGGGACGAAACTCGAAGCTCGTTCTCGAGACACGGGTAAACCGTTCCGCAACGTCAGTCCTGTAACCAGTTTATCGGCTGAAAAGTGTCCACGTCGATATACCTAGAACGCTGGAAGCATAACCCGGCCTGGTTACAAAAATCCCCTAAGTAAGCCGAGCGCACGCGAACCGCGCAAACTTTATCACCGAAGGTATCGCGTGAATTTTTCCGACCACGAACCTCCGCGATCGAGCTCCCTGCTCGATCCAGGCTAATGCCACTGATAATTGCATCGATGATCTCACATTCTACGGGACCGTAAATATTTTCCTGGCTACAAAATCATTGCGGTTGGTCGACAGTTTTATGGTCGTCGGTTAATTAAAGCGACGCGTGGCGTGTGTGCTTTTCGCTGGGAAGTATGCGTGAGAAACGATGGCTCCGAAGACGAGAATAGAATTTGTCAGAACACTAATAGTAACGAAAATTTGTGAATTTTTCTACCGTTGTCGTAAACTCGATCATATTGTTCCTCTTTTCCTAAAAGATTATGGCCGATTTGGGGTTGTAGGAAAATGTGAGCGAGATAGCAACAGTCAAGAAAGGGAACTCATCAGTATTATTTTATTATAAACACTGTTCTCTATCTGAATTATAATTCTATAGTTTATGATACCTATGAAATATATTCTCTTGTACACTAATGTACTTGTACATAAATAAATAAATGACTAAAAAAATTACCAGACTTTGATAATATACGTATAAAATATGGGTATTTGACTTTAGAGTTATACAAAATTATAAAGTGTTATTAGCACATTATCGATGGGAAACGAGAATTCTCATTTTATTGAAATATACATTGCCTGGCGGGAAACGAGTATTCTCGTTTTATGACAAGTGTGTATTTTTCTAGTAATTTCTCCGATAACACAAGAAAAAAATTCTAATATTATTCACGTATAACTCCGGACAACTTCAATAAAATATATTAATTACAAAAATACGTATAGAAAAGTTTTAATAAAAATGACCCCTCGTTAATGTGTTAAGTTAAATCTAAGTCTAGATTGAGCTAGCGTTTCTCTGTTCGTGTACTTGCAATTTGTAAATTTCTGATCGTAACGAATAAAGAAAATAAATAAGTATCCGATCGTTGACAAATCTGGCAAGGCACTGTTGTTCCCTGACGGACTCGATGGGATGTCGTTCGAACAATACTCTCTAATGACGCTTAAAGGGACGTCTGTTCTCTGATCCCTTCGACCCATCTGTCCTTTGTAACAAGTCGTTCCCTGCAATCGAGAACCGTTGGTCCCGCGACCATTCTCAACGAATTCATCATTAATGGTGGGTGGGATGGGTAACCGAAAGTTCGTTAAAAGAAGAATGCACTGTAAAGAAACGAGCTTTGTGCGATCGACAACGGCAACGCTTTCACCGTTATTCTTACGATTCCAGCTCGTGAATCGAAAGACTCGCTCTGGACGAGGAGCATTGCCCGCGCAAATTTCGCTTTCTAGAGGCTGTTTAGATCATCGGATTACAACGCGCCGCGCTCCGTATCCGAGAATCATCGCGATGGATCGTTTGTGAACGCCGCGCCGCGATGTAGATCATTTGTTATTTACCGAGTGGAAAATTGAAGCACGAGAGTTTCATGCAACTCTTCGTAATTACATAATTTCGCCATAAATTCGAGCAAACAGCTTAAATGGATTTGTTGAAATATTAAGTGTTTTGAGAAATCTGTAGATAAAGAATATTAGAAATTATACTAGCATGTTTCGTGACTTTTACCGTGCGTAGAGAACCTAGGGGAAGGGATGAACGCGTTGGTTGTTAACGGAAGAGCGAAAGTAAAGCGTTTACGCGTACGACTTGCTCGCGCAATGTTACTTCACTCGTAACCGTCGTTGCTCGTCACGCTTGTCCGAGAAAAATACACGTTTTGCCACAAGTTATGGTTGGCGATTTCTATTCGTAATCCGTGTTTGCGCAACGGTTCGTTCTAATTGACCCGGTTGCTTGTTGTTCGCAGAGGCAAATACGCAACGGTGAGGAGATGTCGGGAGAGATCCAGCGGACGACAGTGGGCCGCCAAGTTCCTGAGGAAGAGGCGACGAGCGCAGGAATTAAGGGCGGAAGCACTTCACGAGGTCGCGGTGCTGGATGCCGCGGCGAATTGTTCGCGCCTGGTGTCTCTTCATCAGGTCTTCGAGACGAACAACGAGATGGTCTTGGTTCTGGAGTTGTAAGTCCTGCGTGTTTTCTTCTTATCGTTCGTAGAAATCGTAGAAATATTCGATTTGTGCAAAAGTATATTAGATTAAATATGAAAATAGTAAAAAAAAAACTGAAAATGAACCGGATTTAATTCTTATAAAATTAGAGACACTGGAAATTAACGGAGCGTTCCATTTGGAAACCGAAAATGAAGACTGTGAACAAATTCACTGACACGAACCTTATAGTAATTAACGTATCAAGTTCCAAGACAACATTTCACTTCGTCAATATCAAACCATTTTGATTTGGCTAATAAATTACGATTTATAGGGGGTTTACAACCAATCAGCGATGCTATAAAATTATTAACCAAAGAATTTTTTTATTAGATAAATCAAATTTTATTATATATATTTATTAATATCAATTTTAATATTAGTTATTCCCTTTTTATTTTAACTTATATTCAACAAAACATTCCATAATATCTATATCAAGAGTTATATTGGAAATAGGAGTATGTCCTGTAATAATTGAAAGTTGAGAGTCAAATTCAAATTATGTAATAGTAAGGTTTATATACAGGGTGTTCGGCCACCCCTGGGAAGAACTTTAATGGAAGATTCTAGAGGCAAAAATAAGACGAAAATCAAGAATATCAATTTGTTGATTGAGGCTGCTCTAAAAAGTTATTAAAAAATTAAATTAAAAAAGTTCAAATAATTTAAAAAATATTATTTTTGGTTGCGGGGCTCAATTATAATCATTTTTTGTGAATACACATACCTTTGAAATTCTACCCGCTTTCGAGAAAAAAATTGGAGTAGGTACTGAAATTTTGAAACGAAATTAAAAAATTTGAAATCATACTAAAAAAATTACATTTAGTTAGAGAGGTCAATTACAATCATTTTTGGTGAATAGACATAACCTGAAATTCTTCGCACTTTCGAGAAAAAAATTCTTTACAGAAAATCTAATGTGAGGGCAGAAATGCTTCCTTGCATGCGAATCTGTAAACTGTCATAACTAATCCTGAATGGACTGAAGGATTTTAATTTTTCAAAGTGCAAACAACGCGTATTTCAGTGAAGAATATGCAAAAATTCAAAGAATATTCGAAAAGTTGTTCCTTAACCCCGTAAACTAAGAAAAACTTCATAAAAATGGTCCAATTTTCAAACAACCATAATTCCTACAATAGTTAATATATTTCAATGAAACTTTTTTCTGAAGCAGAGCCCATGAGCACCTACAAAAAAGTATTAGACAACTTTTCTGTATAGCGTTAAACAAATTTTTAAGAAAAATCGACAGGGTAGTGTCTAAATAATGTCTAAATTTTTCGACGAAAAAAAAAATTTCAAATCGTTCTGAAAAAATTATTTTTTTTTATATTTAAAATGATTATCATAATATAAATGAAGAACGGGCATAGAACCGATAATATTGATACGGTAAAATAATACAAAAGAGAAAGGAAGGAAACTTACAAAATATTATTTTTCCCCTTTCCCATTTGTCCTATGCAGGGTGTTCGGCCACCCCTGGAAAAAATTTTAATGGGAGATTCTAGTGGCTAAAATAATACGTAAATCAACAATATTAATTTGTTGATCGAGGCTTTGTTAAAAAGTTATTAACGTTTAAAGTTCCGCCCGTACTGAATTTTTTTCTAGAAAGTGGGCAGGATTTCGGGGGTAGGTCTATTCGCCAAAAATTATTGTAATTGACCCCCGCAACCGAAAATAATTTTTTTAGATCAATTTGAAATATTTTAATTTAATTTTTTAATAACTTTTTAACGAAGCCTTCATCAACATATTAGTATTCTTGATTTTTGTCTTATTTTGGCCTCTAGAATCTCCCATTAAAATGTTTTCCAGGGTTGGCCGAATACCCTGTATAATTTCATATAGAGTTTGATTATATTAGTAGAGTTTTTGATTAATTGATTTATATTTATATAAAAAATGCGTTAAATTTATTTATTTTATATGTCCTTCATATTTAATATTTTTATTAAGATTGTTAATTGGATTAAATCGAACGCCGTTTAATTTAATTGAATCTGAATTAATGTCGGGATTTAGATTATTTTAGAAGTCGATTTACTTAACACAGCTCTGTTTTCTGCCTTTTCAGGGCCCCCGGTGGTGAGTTGCAAATGATACTGGACAGAGACGAAGTTCCGGAGGAGCGACAGGTCGCCAGATTGTTGAAGCAGATTTTGGACGGAATTGCCTTCCTGCATTCCCTGAACGTGGCCCATCTGGACATCAAGGTGAGTCTTGAAACCTGCGCGAAACGCTACCGAGGAAAATTGCATGCTCGTATATGTTCGTGTACATGCTCGGGGAAACGTAGAATCGCGGTCGAGACTCGACTCTTATCTCGCGGCTCGTAAAAAATAACAGAATGCTCGATAAGAACCAGAGGATTGTCGTTCCTGCAAATAATTCTTATCTAGATTTTTCTCGGCAAGTTGAAAAACCTCCGCGCGGAATTGGCACGAGTGCACGTCCGTCCGTCATGGATAAAGAACGCGATAGGAAAAATATAGAACGGTTGCCATCAGGGTTACCATTCCCGGATCGTGAGAAAAACGTACACGAGACACTTTTAAGTTATACCTGCAAAAAGTATTAGGTGTAGGTGTTTTTTTAACGCCTCGACTGCCACACCAAACCCCTCAAATTGTCCACGAAAACGAAACTTTGTTTTTAGTCGATTGAAAACTACTCGCAATTTGTCGTAGAACTTACTTTTATAGTCTGGTTAAAATTCAAGAGTCCTTCTAGATTTATTTTCTTTAATGTTCAATCTTGATAATTAATTTTTTTAACTTTTTAATGGATTAATGTCAATGTATTTTTTAGGGTAAATGCATATACAATTATAATAATAACATATAAATAAAAAATAATGTTTGGTTACGGGTTAGTAGGTTGTTTCATCCGCCTAATCGTGACGATCGGCGTCGTTCCCGACGTCGTCGTCGCTCGGGGAAATCGAGGAGAAAAAGAAACTGGTTGGCAACGAAACGGCGACATTTCAGTCGGATCTGGCAGAGTTTCTCAGCAACGCGACGTGTTCCGCGTCGCGGTTGATGCGAACGACCTAAATCGTTATGTAAAAGTATCCGTGTAATACGGTCAGGGCCGGTGTGAACCTTTGTAGGGTTAAAAAAAATTACGCATTTTTATGCACTTGTATATTTTATAATAATCGTGTACCCGTCTATCTGCTTTTACCGCAACGTACGAGTGGAAATTAAGACGGGAGGCATTAATTCATCCAGCATTTCTCGATGGCGCGTGTTCGCACAGTGTTGCCTCGGAAAGTGACTTTCTCGTGAATTAAAATATTTGTTAGAAAGTGGCGAGTTGGATCGTTATGAAAAGGGAACAGATTTTTCCGCGAACCGTTCGTTATCATAACGAACCGTTGTTTGCAAAGAAGAGAATAAGATCTGCGACACGTGCGCGAGAGACGAGCACGCGGGAAGAGTGAAAACGACTCATCTCGATGGAATCCCGACGAAACGGGCGCCAATGGTGTGTTCCCTCTGTCTATGATATTATTTTTGTACCAACCTCGAGGAGGAATTTCGTCGTTCTCGTCGAAAAAGACCGAGAATAGCTCGATGATGCGTTTTCTCAATTTTTTCCCCCTCGAAAATAATGATCGTGTCGCTATCGTGTGAATATTTCGTACGAATCTATTTCGAATTCCAGCTCGCCCAGGGAAACGGGAAACTTGGCGAACGATATGCCAGACCTCATTAATCTGTTTCCCGATTCAATCGAAGCGAGACCTCTGACTCGATGTCGAAACGAGATCGACCCGTTTTTCAATTAAGTCTTCTACCTCTTTATGTTATAAATATACAGTTACTCCCCGTATTTGCACACTATAATGGCGATTCACTACAAATTAAAAGAAACTTGTTCTATTTTCACCAAATTTGTTACAATTGTGTTATTTCTATTTACGAAATAGTTTTTTTTTTTAATATTAACGGACAAGCCAATGTTGCTTAATTTTGATGATCAAACTGGAATCAGTGTTTTTAACGTAGCATGACCGTTGAAAAGTTTTGCTTTGAATTTATTATACCTTATACCAGTTTCAACAACAACGCTTTAATTCATAAGAAACAAACTTTTAAGAAAATTGTTCCTTTTCACGGAGAAGAAAAACGAAATTACTTTCCGAACAACTCAATAATTGGAGCAAAAATCGATGGTTTAGTCGAAACGGACCACCTCGAAGACACGCCGGTCTCTTGAAATTGATTCGATCGTTGCGTCAACCGCGTCGCGGCTGTACAAAGTCTCGGTTCTGCGACGCGGATGAAAACGAACTACCGGATTTGCATAATTACCCCCGATTCGTGCGGCGATAAATCTACCGATTTTGCCAATAAATTGGTTTAAATTACGCTAAGCGTCGCGCAACGACTATGCGTGTCTTCCAGGCGATAGATGGCCGCGCTTTGTACGCGCGTCACGGAGCGCAATGTACACGCGCTCGAAACGACAAGAGGTTTTTCTTATTTGGCGGTGGCGACGATTTGCAATTTGTGACGCGAACACCGCGACGCGGGACGAAAGCAGGGCGTAGGTATACCGAGTTATACGTGTTTATCGATTATCTGAGTGATCGATATGGGTAAGCCAAGGCGAACAAGTCGTATTAATAATATTCCCTCGGCGACACACGCGACAGGTCGTGTATATCAGCCTTCCTCCTTTTTTTCTTTTTTTTTCCTTCTCCTTTTTTTTTTTCATCTTAACGCGCGGCTCGGATTATGATCGCGGTTATGCAACCCAATTACCCGCCTTTCGCAAATTGATAGCAATTTGCGGGGATCCAGGTTACCAGGTACGCGGCTAAGAAGAGGCTGCGAGTCGCGCGCGATTAAATTCGCTGGAACGAAAGAGAGTCCGTCGAATCGCGATAAATTAAATTACCGCGGGCGAAGGTAATTTCGAATCGTCGGCGAACGTGATAAAATTACATTTTGCGCGTCTTGCCACCGCCAGATATGCGTCGAGACGTCCTTTAACGCTGTTTTATCAGCTCTTCTGTTCAGATACCGGCGACGATTACGCATCAGTCGGAATTATCGCGATGTTTTCCAAACGATAAGATAATTTTGTGCGTTCTAGGTAGGCGAAACGGTTCGTAACCAGGCTAATTTATACGTTTACGCGTTAATGGAGAAATAAAATAGACGGTCCGATAAAAATGTACATCGAATGATAATAACTTTGTACACAGAATATTATGTTCGGTAAAACTTAGCAAGTTAACGTGTATTTCAAACGATGTATATTTTATTAAATACGGATAAATTTAATTATACGCTATTTACGCCATGGTCACAATTAGTACAAAAGACAAAGATACGATGATAAACGAAAGAAAATTATATTTGTAATATAGAAAATTATTCGAAACTATTATTTTATTAATAATTATAAAAACTGCTGTAGTTGATGGAAAGAAAAAAAGGAAAGTTGATCGACGAAGAAAAACGGGAGGAGCCGGCGAAAACATCGCATTTAGTATCAAAATATTTTCTCGCTCGGTCTGGCAACGCGTTTTTGAACCATTAAGCCGCCGACGATGTTAGTTTTCATTTTCACCGTTCAAGATCGCGAGAGCGTGGCCGCATGGAAACAATCACGATGGTCGTTTGGAAAGGAAAAACGGTTCTCTCCATTCTTCAAGCTTTCCGTTTCGACGCGTGCTGTGTCCGAGAAGTCAATGGACCCGTTTCGATCGCGTCGAACTCTTCAAACCTTTTGCCAAACGAGTCTCGAGATATACAGCCCATGCACAGATCGCCCTCGGAGTTCGTCTTAAAATACCATTGTGCCTCGAATTCACGCGATATGCCTGACCTAAATATAGATCCCGTGGTTATGAATGGAAAAATGCACGTGAACTCTTTGGCCCACTTCCAGGAGACCTCGTTGTCCGGTGTCCGCGAGATTTTGAGCGCCGCGACGCCGATCAAGCTGATTTCACGCCGCTAAAGCCACCGGATACGTAACAATGGCTCTCTTAACTCAACATAGCGCTCTTCTAGATATTTACCGCAGTACTCGAGTATATACGAGGATTTTGCACATACGTTTCTCAAATTATTATTTATTTATTAACGGGAAAATCCCTTTAGTATAAAAAGAAGTAATGTGGAAGGAACGACAAAATAAAAAATTATACAGAGAAAACATTACTATTTATAAAGTAAAACAATTAATGTATAATACAGCAAGGATAGTTTTAGAGGTAATTATTTACTTTAGCAATTCCTCGCCAATTTCAATGACCTTGAGATATGTTGTCAAGGTCGCTGTTATGAAGATTTTTTCTCTATACATATAACCGCCTCATAGTGGGGCCATTGCATGCCAAACGCGGCAAAAAGTGGTTTTATACAAATATACCCACAATTAAATAATGATTCACTAATAGTTAATGGGACACATGGGCCATGATTTAGTGTGATTTTTTTTATCATTTGTCGATTTTTGATACGACTACATGATTTTGAAACGTTCAATCTTAAAATCATCCAAAATTATAATCATCGTTTATTGTTGCTTTGATTCTTCAAAGTAAATGATGAGTAATTGAATTAAATGTACTTAGTACGTATTTAAATTACGAATGAAGAATCAGATGAAGAATCATTCATAGATTCATAAATTCTTTCGTTTTCTCTTCGTAAAGGTCGTGTCGTCTATTTGCTAATTGCCATCTTCTCCTGAAACGGGACTTCAAAGTTGCAATTTTTGTTTTCAAAATTTTCTGGTACTCCACAGAATAATTATCCTGGCTCATTAAGGACGTCTCTAAAAATTCTAGTTTATTTTCAAAATTATGATTTTGATGCTGTGTCATGATGTTACAAAACTGCATCATTAAAAACACATGTACTCCTGATGAACCTTAAGATTTAAAAAAAAATGTCACTCTATTAAAATGAAACTTTTGCTACGAAAACTGTATTAACAAACTATATAGAAGATGAAGAAAAATGGCGAAATTCAAATATATATATCTGTACCTACCTACTTCAATTAGAAATTCCATTATTTTAACACTAAATATTTCACTCACAACATACAAGTTAGGAACGTCAAACGACAAATGCTCCAAATTCGTGATCATTTTATGCTTTTATAGCATTCGAAGCAAAAACAATGAAATGTATGCATTGTTTCCTAGTTTTGATGTATAGGGTTATCCAAATTGAGTGTCACATCT